ATTTCCTTACTGCTAGTGCCAAGAGTGTTGATTGTGGAACCAAACAAGCTGAAATTGTTAACAATAGACACGTTAATTATACCACCAGAGCTCTTCTGTGTATAGAAGAAGTCTTCTTCTAAATATTGGTGGGACAGCTATTTGCCATGTTTATGATGGAGGAGTGATCCTTGATAATACAATATTAAAATCTGTAAAAATATATGTATGTTTTCAATTAGTTCTACCCTCTGTGGATTTCTTCTATGAAAATTATCATGACTGTGTACCGGATATCACGTACAGACATATAAAGTAATGGAAACCTTATATCTGAAACTTTGTATTTTCATTATAAATGGAAACTTTATATTGTAACCATCACAGTGTAAAATATTAATGTTAGTTGTCATTCAGTTGATTTCAAGAGTAGAACTGTTCCATAAAGTTTTCAAAGCTATGATCTTTGAAAAGCAAACTGCAGGCTTATTTTCCATAGTGCCTCTTAGTTCACCTCTAAACTCTTTTCCCTAATAGTCAAGTGCTTAACTATTTGTGCCACACAGGGATCTCAGTGACAAATATAAACCAAACCAACTGACACGTTCTTGTCATGGTTATTGTTGTTGTTATGTGCCATTGAGTCACCTGTGACTCATAGCGACCCTGTGTATACAACAGCTCTGAACCCTTCACCCTTCCAAGCATGATGTCCCTCTCCAAGGATTCGTCCCTCCTGGCAACATGCCCAGAGTGTGTCAGATGGAGCTTCAAAATTCTTGTCTCCAAGGAGCAGCCTGGTTTCCGCCTCTTTAGGATAAACCTGTTTGCTCTCCTAGCAGTATCTCCATGGTATATTCAATACTCTTCTCTAGCACCACAACTCAAAGGCATTGGTTTTTCTTCTATCATGCTTAGTTATTGTTCAGCTTTCTGATGCATAGCAAGTAATTGCCAAGACTGTGGCTTGGGTCAGGTGCACCATAGTCTTTGTACTGGCATTGTTGCTCTTCAGTAGTCTGGAGAGGTCCCTGACTGACAACAGCTTTTCTCAGTGCAGTTCATCTTTTGATATCCTGGCTGCTAGTACCAAAACTATTGATTGTGGAGCCATGCAAGCTGAAGCTGTTAACAATCTCAAACTTGTCACTGTCTATCATTATGCTGCCAGTTGGCCCAGTAGTGAAAATCTTTGTTTTCTTGATGATGAGCTTCTTAAATTCTACTCTACTTAAATCCTCAAGAATCATTTCCTGAATGTCTTGTTTGTGGGTCATAGAATCTCATTCTTACCTCAATGACAATTGACTGATTCATGTAGCTGTAATCATCCTACTGGACCACCATATATCTTTTTCTAAATGTCTTCTAAAATAGGGAGAAAGAGAGAGACATGACACACAAAGAGAGACAGAGAGAGAAAATTGCCTTTTAGGACAATTAGAAATTTAAAAATGAATTCTCCATTCAGAATTTGGGTTCCAATCATTTTAGATGTTATCAATGCTAATAGAATTTGGAGGAAGAGTATTGATTGTTATTTTGTTTTTGTTATCTCTGTTAGCTGTGCAAAAGCCTACCTTAAAGCTCAGATTCATTCATAACAAAAACAAAATGTTTTTGGAGAAATAAAACAGACCATCCCCAAAGAGGGGAAAACACCAATTGTCTCAAGTTGCTGAATTCTAATTTAGTTGTCACAATTCTAATTGAGGACAAAGTAGATTTTTTTTTCAATCCTGAGCATAGACTCCATGTGTAGAGGAGTTGATTTTTCTGCTCAGTATCTCTGGAAACCACTTCATCTCTCCATGTGATGCTGTTAGACCCACCCTGAAGGATCAGCATATCCAAGGGGTGAACTTCCTTTTGTCTCTAATCATTGGTATATGAGTGGGCATATGATTCAAGCTTGACCAATGAGAATAGAATAATAACTGGAACCCATACTGGACGATCAAAGTGCTGTATTCTTCCTATGTGGTTGTTAAATTGCTAAAAGGTTATGTAAAATCATGGACCAACCTTTGAGGATCAATTTTCAGCCAAATGATAGACAAGCCTGTAGAGTGAACAATAACACCAAAGAAGAATATGCTCCTTAGAACAACCAACCAGACAACACCAAAAAGGAACAATTTGTCCAAAAGCAAAGCTTATAAGGCAGAAAGGAGCAAGAAAGAAGGATAAATGGAGGGACACAAGGAAGAAGTGGGAAGAGTACTGTTACACTGAGGGGATTACAACTGATGTTTTAGCAGGGATCGTATTAGCTGTGCCAAAGCCTACCTTAAAGCTGAGGTTCATCCCTGATTGTCTAAAGATTTTCATTTCATGCCCATCTAAAGTACTTCAAGGATCATCTTTTCCTGTTTCTGTGTCCTTACCACTAATGATTATGTGGAGAAGTGGGCAGCTAATCTCTGGTAGCTTGGGTATTCTTTGAACCTGAGCAATGGAAAATGGCAGAAAGATAGCCCAGCCTTACTCTGTTAGTATATTTAATATCTACAAAATGAAGCATTATATGGTTTCTTTTCTAATTACATATACATATATATTCAATATTATTGTAATATATAAAATAGACATTTCACCCATTTATAAACACAAAATTCAATGGCTTATCATTTATCTTTTTTCTATTTTCATTTACTTATTGTTTCCAGTTCTATTATTTTTAAAATTAAATGTTGATTCTGTAAAGTTCTGCTTTTTTTT